CCCCTGCCTGTGGGCGGGGTCGCTGCAGGGTCTCCACTCTGTTCTGGAGTCTGCTCAGCCCTCTTCCCCCCACCCCGCCCCCCACCCCACCCCCGGTCTCCACCCCGTGACTTGGCCACAAAATAGGACTTGCTTTTTGGAAAACTCGAGCTCTTCTCTGGAGCTGCTTCTGCTCCAGCCTTTGCAGCAAAGGATTTGGACGCTCGGGTTTCGGTGGTTTATTTGGGAGGGTTTGCAGTGAGCAGGATTGTTTCATTTTGAACACCTGCTTTGTGAATTGGCCTGGACTGGATAGCAAACTACAGGCCATTTGAAAACACACTCTAGTAACACATATACAGGCTTTCTTTCTCTTTGTCCTTCAGACACACACACACACACACACACACACACACACAAGAGCTGGGTGCCTGCTGTTAGACGGCAGTTGTGGAAGAAGCCTGGTTCTCACCTGTGCTCTGGGAGGTTCAGAACCATCTAGGACTGACAGTAGACTTTGTTCTCCGTTCTCAGATTTAGCCATCTCCTTGCATAATCTCTAAAATCATGGTTCTTTATTCACTGATCTATTTTTCAACAAACTTGATCTCTACTTTTCTGAGTCCTGGACTTGAAATCTGATGAAACCCTTGAAACCCTTTGAAAATTTGTTGAAAGTCCAGGCCCCCCCTCCTGGTGAAAAACTCGGGGGTGGTTGACGGAGCCGGTCCTGAGCTCGTCTAAAGAGGCCTGCTCCCATGCATGCCACTGTCCTCAAAAAACCGAGGGGCATTCCAGGAGTTCAGAAGCCTGGGGTCCTTCCGAGCCAAACAGCTCAGGCCCTCACACCCCGACACCCTCCTCAGATCTCATCTCAGAAGAGCAGTCCCTGGGGCCACGCTCCTGGCTCTTTCGGGGTTACCCATCTAGACTTAGAGAACCCCACTTCTCTCTGTGACCCCATGTCCCCGGGACGGGGCTGAAGCCGCAGCTGGCCGTGCCTGCTCCAGGCCCCTGCAGCCCCCGGCAGGTATCATTACTGCACAAGAGACCCATCATTCTGCATTAATCTGGGATTCATCATGATAGCCATGACCATAATTAATTTATTTGGTATTAATGGGGATGAAATATGTACTGTCCTTTCAGGGGAAATCAGGCTGCCTATAAGCATTAGTTAAAAGGACCATTAAAATCAGACCTTCCCCAGATCCATTAGGCAAAGCCTTTGATCCTGAAGAAGATAAAGGTCTGCTGTGTGAAATGTCATGAATAATTAGGTTGATTTGCTGTTTTAAACTCTGCCCCTTCCTCCCCCAACCCTCCCACCTCCCTCCTGCAGCAGAGCCCCCCACGCACCCACTGCCTCATCGTCACATCTGCACTGGCCCCCAATTCCCCTCTGGCCTCTACGACCACTGGCGTGGCTCTGTGTGTATGGCCAGGACAGGGAACGGGGCTTAAATGACCCAGCTGGACTACAGTTGCAGTGAGTCTACTCTTCTTTTCCCAGTCTTGGGCCTGGGTGGTGGGCACCTTCCTCTTGCCTCGGTGCTGCTCCAGAAAGGGGTTGATGGGAAGAGGTCTGAGGCAGCATTTTTCAAACTGAGGTCTGCAGGCCCCGCACCTCGAATGGTGGCAGGGGTATAAAACGCAGATTCCCGGGCTCACATCTCAGGAGCTGTGTGTGGGAAGGGGACGGAGTGTGCTACGGAGGGTTTGGTGTCTGCCGGATGGAGGGGAGAGGCAGGAGAGAGAACCCATCGTGAGAGGCCCGCTCTGCGGCCGAAGTGTGATTTCTCCGGAGCCCCGTGTGGACCCTGGCGTGTGGCGTGTCCCAGCCACACGGGCCTCTCCTGTGGGGAGCACGGGAAGAGGCGTTGCACCTGATGCTTTATGCACATGGGTGCACACAGTTGCCCCGTGGGGCTGGTCCTCTAGGCCTCACCATCAAGCTGAAGAAACCAGGAGGCAGAGGGCGAAACTGCCTGCTCAGTGGGACCTGGAAAATCCTACAGCCCTGGGTGAACTGACGAGCTGTTAATCGGACCGTTGGGCGGCCCAGGGGTGGTGGCCCATGGAGCCCCCGGAGTGGTGGGGTGGGGGAGGGACAGATGAAAAGTGCGCGCAAGCCAGACCCCGCCTCCCTGCCGCGCGCTCTAATCTTTTCACGCCACTCTGCCCTTACAGGCGCTTCGGCACAAAATGCACGGCCTGCCAGCAGGGCATCCCCCCGACCCAGGTGGTCAGGAAGGCGCAGGACTTCGTCTACCACCTGCACTGCTTTGCCTGTATCATCTGTAACCGGCAGCTGGCCACGGGGGACGAGTTCTACCTCATGGAGGACGGACGGCTGGTGTGCAAGGAGGACTACGAGACGGCCAAGCAGAACGGTAATCGGCACGGCCCCTCCCCCAGCCTCCGTGCCGGCCGTGCCCCCTGTCCCGCCTGAGTCCGGGCTGCCCACCCCTCGGAGCCCTGCTCGCCCCCTGCCTCCTCCAGAACCTTCCCAGATGCCTGCAGGGAGGGGGAACCCCCAGGCCCCAGCCCTTGGCACGTGCTGCTCCACTGAAGCATCAGCCGGTTTCCGGCCGCTGAGCGCCCGTCTCTCGCCCTAGCACATTGGCTCGGGAGCAGCTGAGGACCTTGTGCCCATCATCTCGAGGCCCCTCGCTTGGGGCGGGGCTGGGAGGGTGCTCCGTCTGCAGTGGAGCTGCTCGTCAGTTTCACATATCGGGGTGCGCATTTACCTCTGCACC